GTCCTTATGGTTTGTGCCAATAAGGGACAAAAATCACCAAACTTTGTGCTGCAGCCTTGATTGAATCCTGTGCAGGAGCTCTTACAACGCAGAATCACAACTCAGAAGTCAGTAGGAGTTTCTCATATCTGAGGGCAGAATTTAGTGTCTTATGCTATTCCAGGCTTGGTGTTGAGCTCGCTCCTAATCATTGAGGAGGGTTCTGGTAGATGTCAAGTGAAGAGAAGAATAGAGCATGCATCCTTCACCACTCCAGCCAGACAATGAAAGTAGAAAATGGCACTGAGAGTTGATGTGAGAGAATTCCCCTGGATTCTTAGAGGAAGAATAAAACAAGAATGTATTGATTATTTAAAAAAAGAAAATAAAATAAAAGAGGAAAAAAAAGAGGCAGAAAGTAAGAGAGAAGTAAGATGGGGAAAAGAAAATAAATTAGAGAAACCCTGCCAAAATCCTCCTCAGAACCCATCTAATAATAAAGTCCGACGTTAAAAGCTGTATTGTCTTTTACATAAAGGCGCGTGTACTTACTGTTTCGTCTTAGTTTCTGGTTCTGCGTTTTTCAAATCTCTTACCGAGCATTTTGCATGCGTGTTATGTTTGCAGCACTACCCGCTCTTATTTGAAGACTGCTTTCAGAAGTCATTATTGAACCATAGGATAAAAAGGTATAAGCATAATTACGTGTTAAAGAGAATAAATATGTTCTGCTAGATAGTTAACCAGGTGAGGTTAAACAAGATAAGATGAATTCTGGTCTTTTTAGAAAACTGACAGTCTTCATTTTAAGCTACAATGTAAAGTGCTTTATCCTGAGATTAGGTATTGTGGCAGAAGCTAAAACTGCCTTTTTCCCCTAACCGTGCCAGAATACAACCTCCTTTTCTTTTTGCGCTAACAAGACTGCTTTACCACCACAGCCCACTCTAAGTAATTAAATCAATCCTTTGTACTTACCGTATTCTCCTCTAGTGACGGTACTAGATCTGATTATATGCTTCATGCATATTCAAAGTACGGCACTGACAGCTCTTTAATGAGCTCTTACTTAATCAGTGCGAACAATGTTCATCTTGTTCTTTTTTTCCTCATACATTAGAGCTAGGAACAGTTGGGGAAAAAATGAAACATCCAGCATTCATTTGAAAAATATATTGTACTTTGAAAAGTGTCTAAGCTGGGGAAGTTGCATTCTGCCCTTTAAAAGTCTGATGGACAAATTGGATTACTAGTATTGGATTAAATAACAAATGGTTAGAGGAGAAATGAGAAAAGCTCGCTGTGATCACAGGCTTTAATATTTTTTGTTACTTATAAAGCTGAAGGGGTCTTTAACCAGTTATTAAAGTCAGGATTAATTTGTAATGGTCCAACTTACTAGCTTTAAAAGGGTTTTGTTGTTGTTGTTGTTGTTGTTTTTATCGAAAACAATACTGTAATGCATGTATTATGGAAAAAATTTAAGTTTAAGATCTGTGGGCTATTTATAGATTTTCATCATCTTGTACGGGCTCAGATAAGGGGTTTGCATGCATGGGATCGATTTGTTCTCAAACATGTTTTTTCCTTCATTTAAATAATCTGTACAGTATTTTTTTTTCCCTGAGAACAACTCAGATATTTTCCCAATTTAAATTTTCAAGCATTTATAGCAAGTCAATTAAATACTTGTTTTATACTTGGAAAGTGGAAACAAAAACAACCCCAGCAGCAGCAGGGTTTTACAGAGTGAAACTGTGTTGAAGAAAGGCTTTTCCTAAATTTTTTATTTGGAAATTCTAAATGCGAGTTTAGCTTGCAATATCGCTGCAGTGACCACACTCAGTTTTTCTTTGTTGAAAGTGTTTCGCGTGCATCCTTCCACCAAGGGGGAAAAAAAAAAAAAAGTAATGCTCTAATGGTAATGTATTTGCTGAAAAGAGTTATTTAAATTTCTTATATATGGGAGTTCATCTTTATTTTGCTTGCCTGGGAAGAATCTGTTTCAGCTCCATGTGCAAGAATTTAAAAGCTGACAGTCAACAAATAAAATATCAGCATCGACTGCTATTAATATTGCACACATGTGTCATTTCACTGATCAAAAAGGCCTTCGCCGGGGTACAATTGGCCTTTTTCCAAATTGCAAGCTTTTTCTCAGCTTTTTCTTTTTTACTCTTTCTTCTTTTGTTGCTGCCGGGGGATTTGTGCCTATCGCAGCCGATATCACATGACCGGTGTCAGGGCATCACATGGGTCCAAAGTGAATACAAAAACAGATTAAAAATTCTGTAAAAACAATCAAGACTTTGTTAACTCACTTTTAAACCAGCCTGTTCTATGGATATTGCGTGTGCTTCGGTGTCAGCGTGGAAATATCGAAATAGGCACCTGTTCAGCTCTGACTCGGCAGCTCCAAGCTTTACCTAGATCTTTTCTCGTTATGTGTTGCAACTAACTTTATTTAGAAGGAATGCATTAATAGGAAGGAGTTTATGTTCTTACCCTGAGATTGCATGGCATGAAGTTCAAGTTCAGATCCGCTGTTGAGTCAAACTCCTTTGAAACGTTTCTGTCTCTCGTTTCTTTTTCAAGGATTGCAAAATGAAATGCAGCAAGAGCTTGCGTTTACAATGGCGTCGTTTAGCCAGAGATCCCAGACCACCCCAAACCCAACAAACTTAGTGCCATAAATTGATTAAAATGTTACTATAGCCACGTATGTGTGGTGCTGAGAACTTTTTTTCACCAGCAGCATGGCAATCTCATGCATTACAGACTAGTCTGGTCATTTTGCAAGGATAAAAAAGGCAATCTATCAATCTATCCCCTTTTTCTTTCCCTCTCCCCCAAATAAATTTCAGCTACTTGGTGCATTTCAAGGAAAGGTTGCTAATATTGATTATCATCTACTTCTAAAAGCAGACCCTGTTAGGCAGACCGGTACAGCAACGCCTTTGATCTGTAACTTAACAGCAAAGTGTACTTGTAAGTTTTAATCCTCTTTGGAGGAGTGCTGAACTGCTGAATATTATTGTAAATGCCGTGGCATAATTTTTTCTGTGCAAAACCAGAAGTTGGAGGTCTTGGGGGAGAGCGTTTCTACGTGACAAATTTATTCTTTCATAGCTCCATCATCCAGGAGCTGGACCCTGCTGCTTCTGCTTGGGAAAGGGCTGCAGGGACACCCTCACTTTAGGATGCTCTGACCTTCCCATCCCACCACTAGCAAATCGTGTACCCTGAAAGCATCCTCCCAAGGAACAGTTTCATCAACCAGGAGCTTCCCGGGTGACAAGTGGATATGGGGGGATGTCTCACATCAGAAAGAGGAGCATGCCAAGTGGCGTAACATTTTCTTACTTTGTGGGTCCACCAGCTTCACCCCAAGCTGGCCCACTTCCCCGTTCATCTCCTTTTCCTTCCCTTGTGTGGTTGCACCAAGCCGCGGCTGGGGAAATCAAACAGTTTGGAGAAGGCCAGTGACCTTCCCTTGCACGCAGCAGGGTCATAGCCACGTGAGGAGGTGGCTCTCCATGCAGATCTGGGCTTGCACACTACCGTGCGTTGGGGTGCGAACGTGCGCGTGGCAGGCACGTACGTGCAAGTATTTCAAACACTCCCATCCAGAAATTGAAAGCTTTCTTTTAGAGCAAAAAATATTTTTTCTGGTGTCTTTCCAACTTTTGGTGCTGGAAATTGTTTCTCTGCAACTAGGAGTCCTATGGTTTAAGTTAATAAGATAGCTTCCCTGAGCGTACAGCACGTTGCATCAGAGATTTCAAAACCCTTTACAAACATCTAAGAATTAACTTCTAGCACCCTTGCAAGATCAGTACAGGGGATTATCCCCATGTTACACACAAGGTGCTTAAATGCAGAGATCTGCCCACGGTCTCCTGGTGAAGCAGTTTCGAAGCTGGGAGAAGTACTCAGAAGTCCCAGCTCATGCTCCTTTGCCCACTATTCCAGGTTTCCTCCCAGATTAATTTTAGTCCTAAGAAATGTGTGAGTTTCATAATTCAATGAGGACCATATGAGGAGTCTTTGCTCCTCAGCTCAACTTGAGAGATGAGAATGGCAGGTCCCTACAGAAGTGCAGTCTCCACAAAGGGCTTTGATGAGGTTTCTCTAAGTCCCTCAGCTCAGAGAGAGTGAAACTTGGCTAAGCGACCCTGCTACGTGAAAAGAACAGTCAGAAGCCTTCTAGGCTCTCGTCTCCCTTTTCCCCAGGTGGCCCCATGGTGCAGAGGTGGTTACGTAGAGTTGTACAGAGTTCAGTAGAGCGTAGCACTGCCTGCAGGTAGGCTACGGAGGGTCCTGATCCTGATCCTGCCTGGAAGGCAATAATGAACACAAGCTAGGGAAAGGGATGCTAGTCCATGCATACACACACAGGGACCCTTAGGCACTTAGACCCCAAAATGATTCGTATTTGCTCCCTTTGATTGTGGGTGAGGAGAGGAGCAGCTCTTTCCAGCGCGTTGTCTGGAAGAGTGGCCGTAATTGAGGAGAAGCTGAGCAGGTGCCTGCAGCTTGGCCAAGGGTTCAGGATTACCATCTCCTCTGCAGCTACTTTGATCCCTACCGCATCATCCCGACTGTGCTGGGTTTGCATGGGTGGAGTGGATCTTGCCCACAAGGATTGTTTTTGTGTTTGGAGGCCTGTGATGACTAGACATCTTTTAGCAACAAGGCTTTTTTCATTGGAAACGTAACAACAATATAGTTCTCTCTGAAGAATTTAAAAGAGACAGTACTTTTTTAAAAGGCATTTATTTAGGTATCAGCGTGGTAAAGAACACTAAAATGTGTGCTCAATAATGTCTGTTGTCATTTATTTATTTGTGGAGCAAGCAGCATTAAGCTGCAGGAGTTGTAGTCATAGGCTATTTTTACCATTGGAAAGCACGCCTTGTAATGCTCCATGGTATCGAAGACTGGTACTCCGAAACCTGAAGTGAAATATGTAGCTCAATTTGTGAAGTGCCACGTAAGTAATGAAATTCTTTCGATTGTAGGGAGAAACACAGAAGAAGAAGAAGCTATGATGCAGGAATGGTTCATGCTGGTTAATAAGAAGAATGCCTTAATAAGACGAATGAACCAGCTTTCTCTTCTGTAAGTACAGATGGATATGTGTATTTACAAAAGGATGATTTACTGGAATATTTCCTTAGCAGATCGATGCAAAATTTTTTTTGTTTTCTTCCCATTAGACTTCAAAAATGTTCCTTCAAAAATGAATAGCATGGATGATTGGTGGAATACATCGAGTAACCTGTTTTTCTCATATTTCAGACTTGAAAATGAGAAGCGTGCAGTGACACAAGATTAGCCAGAGCTGTGAAAAAAAAATAATTAAAGAAATATTAAGCACAGTTACATTTTCAAAGGCCCAACAGTAGAATAAAATTACATTTTAGAAATGCGCAGATAGATTTGGATTGTGCCTCGGAAGTGACAGGTGAGGACTATTCGGAGAGAGAGCAAAATTGGAGTCGCCACCCGTTTCATGGAAATCCTCAATCCCATCGCTAGTTCAGCAGCACCGCGCTGCTGAAAAGATATTAGTGAATCAGTCACGGTGCAATGATGCCACCGACACTGCAAAGTGAGGACAAATAAACTTGTTTTTGCTAGCACCAGCGAGGGAGGGAGGAGATGCTGCTCGTTTTTAGAGGTGTTCTGCCCTCAGCGCCTCTTTCCCAGCTTCTTTCGGTTTGGTTATATTTCCTTCAGTAATGCCACCTAGTGTAGATGCCTGCATACTTCCCTGGAAAGAGCCTGTGCTCACAAATTTCCTGCCGCGTCTGAACTTGACAGAAGATTCTACCTTCAAAATACTAAGCTTTCTAATCCCGTGTCTAATTTTCATTATTCATTAGGGCAGAATGTATATAGGATAATACTTCCAGTGTCATATTATCTTGGTGAATAGGCTGATGCTGGAATTTGTTCATTAGATCTGGGGGAATGTTTTATATTTAGGACATTCCACAGCAGCCGCTCCAAGAATGAGTATGAAATAATTACGTCCTGTAGCACAATAGAGTTAAACTGATGGAATTAAAGCAGACATTACGGAAAATGAAAAGGCCCTGTTAACTGAATGCGCCACCTGAGCAAGGTTTTAAGTTTGTGTATCATTTGTTTGGAGTAGCTTAAAGTTAAAGAGGAAAGTCGGTTACGAGTCCTAAAATCAATGTAAGTTAAAGGTTCTTTTAAGCGTTTAATGATTTAGTAATTAACATATTGATGAACTTTTGCAACTTGCCTAGG